GTAATCACAGTTTTTATAACCAGAACAGCAGAGTAATGCTGACAACCTAATTTTCACTAAAAAATGTGTTATGTAGTTCTTGGGCAAATCTCCCCCTGGATCTTGGAGTACAAATTGTAATTAGAAAAGGAGGACTGAGCCTTTTATATGTCTACTGCTACTCAGCCTCTAGAGATATATTTTTCTTAAATATCCTCCAGCTGTATTCTTAAGGTAAGGGATTTGCTATGGTCCAGACATAAATCTTCTCTGGCAAAGATGGTTTAGCAAATCTGAAAGAAATCTATAAGAGACAGAAAAAATTTCTGTCTTGCAAAACTAGCAGCCTGTGGAGAAGGAAGGAGGTCTTGTCTTGTTTTTGTCAGAAGGAAAGATTTTTTCCTAAGTTGTCAGTTGCTTTCTTCCTCCCCAAAGACATAGTTTGAAGGATTTACAGCACAAGTCCAGGGCTCAGCTCTGTGTCTTTAAAGCACAAAGAGAAAACTTAAGCACCTTAAGAGGACATAGGCAAGTTCTCAGATAATGTATTGTGTGTTTTGGGCACATAATCTCAAAAAAACCCAAAAAGTCACCCTCACAAGCAACAGAATAGAGTACAATTGTTTCTATTCAATTTCTGTTAAAAGCCATTTGTTTGATCATACTTTCTGCTTTATATATTCTCTGTACTAATTTATGGTGCCACAGTTCATTCTTGCCCTCATGCTGCTCCCTCTCCTGTGCCAGAGTAAGGATTTATGTGGTGGCAGGTGAAGCAGATCAAAAAACTGATCCATGTTAAATGTAAGCACAAAAAAGGGGGGGGTTAATTTTAAGCTCGATCGTGGAACTGATCTCATTTATTAAACAGCTGTATAGATCAGGGAAGATGGAAATGTAGGGAGGAACAGAATGGGTGGAGGAAGACAAGAGTACTTCTTTTGCTAGCAGTGCTGACCTGTGACATTTTACAGTGCATGAGAAATTACAGACTATGAGTGGACTGACTTTTGGAGCACAGTGAATTAACGTATTCTCAAAATTACTGTCAGGCCCTTACAATGGATCATAGATAACCAAATCTGCTTTTAAAGAGGAAAAATAATTTTATTAAAGGGGCAGTGAACTTATTTTGGTTTGTCTCATAAATCACTAACTTACAATAGTCATAGGTAAATCTCTTCAAATAAATCCTGTTATATAACTTTTATAACAAATTTTCCTTTATTTAAAGTGTTGTCTTGAAACAGGTAAATCAAAACATACCAATTAAGATAGATTATTAAATCTTTAACTTTTTTTTATCAAAGTACAAACACTTAAAGGTAATGTAGTAATTTCCAATCTATTTGCATACTTGCATTAGTTACCAGTCCAGCCAAGTGTCTGGATTCTGTCCATGTAAATGCAACATTTATCTGTCCTGTACTAATGATTTCAGAATGGTACTACATTGAAAATTGTATGTTGTAGCAAAATATCTGCAAAACTGTATCTCAAAAACAGCTTGGGGGCATCTTTTAACATTAAGGGATGAATGTGGCTTATTCCATTCAGATGACATATGATTTAGGTAGAAGTAACCACAGGTTTTTCATAGGCATTGAGCGTGCTTTCCTTTCTTAGTATGAAGATTTTAAGGTATGTGTAGAGAAAATTCTGAAGTACCTTTCTGAAGATTTAAAGCAAACTTTCTTTTTTCCTGTTGCTCAGAGAAGATAAGGAATGATAGCTGCAGTAAGGCATATGACTTGGCAAATGCCTGTATTTCTCTTCATTCTTAAATGGGAAATGTTTATCTTCTAACACCTTTCCTGGAAATCAGATCTCTTGCTAAGAAGCAAATGTGGTATAGGTTTGTTTTACTTAGTTGGTATCTAGATCAAATAGAAGAAAAATCTGTGTTAAATGGGGCAGTTCAGAGGTCACTTAATTTACAGTGAGCATTCTGGTTTGTTGACAGTAACTTGGGTTTCTTCAAATGAAACCATTTCTATCTTAGAGATTTTCTCTTTGTAGTACACCTGTGACTACTAATAATTGGACAGTGTAATTCAATTCTTTGCATAAGGTACACTCCTTTATGGACAAATGGATAAAATACATAACATGAAAAAATGGCATAGAAATCTACATAGAGCTCTTCTAAAAGCTGTCTGGTTTACCTTTGTAGATACAGCTGGTAATTTTTTGTCTGCAACAGAAAATATCTTTCTGATGCTGCAGGCATGGCCTGGGTCACAGAAAGCAGAAACTTTCTGGAATTTCATTAGAAAGCCCGATTTTTCTGTGGAGTAAAACTTGTGACCAAAAGTGTAAGCATAAATGTTGTTGTGTTCTCTAACTACTGGAAATACAAAGCTGTAATTATTAGTAATTTCACTAGAGGTGCTGCACAACTGTATCAATGACACAACATTCAAGACCAGCAAGTGCTGGTAGTGAAATCTCATGTTACCTTAACTACTTGCAATTATGCTGTCAGTCAGTTGTGTTTGGGTCCTTATGCTATGCCTCTAACTCTTACACTTGGGTGAAGTATTTCTCAGTAGCTAAGAATGCCTCCAGAACAAAGAGGGTGAGTAGCAGGATTAGTGTGAGCTTGTGATAAGCCATCTTTACACTTCCATCTCTTCTAACTCTGTGTGATAGAACAGCTTATCAAATGATTAAGAGATAGGGATGTAAAAGGACAGCTATCTTGGATTCAACCTAATTATCACAGCAAAAATAATTATGGAGTACTTTTAAAATGCTTAGAGCAGCAACAGAAAGAAGCAAAATAGATTCTATCGGCATCTGCAAGAGGCAGTGCTTCAGAGGCTCACTCCTTAATGATCTGCTTATGAGGAGAGGTTTCACACAAAGGGCATCTTTGCTCTGTGTGCTGGCTGATGCTTCCCATGCTTCTGAAACCAAACCATTTAAACAGAAGTATCCTCTCAATACTGAGAAATATTTCTCAATTTCTGAAGTCGTCTAGACAATTCTACCAAATTCCTAAGCTGGCTTCTGCTCTGCTGTCCTAGACAGCAGCCAAATGCCATCCATCTCTGCACTGAGGTTCAATAGCAGCACTTGGAAGCTGCTTCCTGACTTTATGTAAAGAAATACCAGATCTAACACTGGAAAACAGCTCTCCAAAGAGAGACATGCATGCTCAGACATCTAGGCAGTAGATTCTGGATTCAGACTGTGAGGGGATGGTGTTACTAGCTCTGCTGAGCACCAAGCACCTCTGCCATAGCATTTTCAATAAAGAATTATATGGCCTCACTATTTCATCTTGCAGTTCCAAAACCAATAAACAACAGCATGTGAGGGAGGAATTATAGTCCCTAGAAATGGCAGTACTCCCTGCTCCTTAAAGCTTAGATTTAGTTTCAATGTGTGCCAAGATATAGTACAAGAACCAATGATTCTTCCAGTCTTCCTAAGTGGAGGAGTGGAGGAACCTCAGTTGTGTTACATCAGTTTTATTTCTTAGTGGATTTTTGGATGACAGTTTTATCCTGGGTTGGGAAACCTTAACTCTGGCATACCTAGGTGTGAGTTAGTTTGTGTGAGTCTAGTTAGTTAGAAATCTCAGTAAATTATCCTTTAATTACATAGAGCTTTGGAAAGAATGCTTCCTGAGCTCAGAGACAACACCGTTACACTTGGTAGATTATACTATACATTTATTTAAACGAGCTGTTACTCTAATAGGCCAGCATCTATTCTTATTTCGAGTCTTTAGTGAAACCATAATAAGAACACTGACAGTCTAATTAATTTATCTGAAGCCTTAAAAAAAAAAAAGAAAAAAAAACCATAGTGACATATTAAACTATGCTTAACTATTCACCACAGCAGTCTATCCCAGTTACAGTGAGGTATTTAAAAATAAGAACTATATAGTATTACAGAATCACAGAAAGGTTTGGGTTGGAAGAGATCTTAAAGATTATCCAGTTCCAACCTCTTGCCATGGGTAGGGATGCCACCTACTAGACCAGGTTGATCAAAGCCACATACAACTCAGCCTTGAACACTTCCATGGAAGGAACATCCAGAGCTGAGAGGAACCTTTTGCAATGCCTTAACCACCCTCTGAATACGGGATTTTCCCTAACATCTCGTCTAAAGCTCTCTTATTTTAGTTATAAAGCCTTACCACTTGTCCTATCATTATGCACCCATACAAAAGGTCCCTCTCGCTCTTTTTTACGAGCCTACTTCAAGTATCACAGAATTGACAGGGTTGGAAGGGGCCTCTGGAGATCATCTAGTCCAACTCTCCTGCCAAGGTAGGTTCACCTCCAGCAGACGACACAGGAACTCCTCCAGACGGGTTTTGACGATCTCCAGAGACAGAGACTCCATGACCTCTGTTCCAGTGCTCTGCTACTTTCAACCTGGAGAAGTTCTTCCTCATGCTGAGGTGAAACTTCTTGTGTTTTAGTTTATGCCCATTGCTCCTTGTCCTGTAGCTGTGCACCACAGAAAAGTCTGGCACCATCCCCTTGGCACCTGCCTTTAACATATCAGTATGTATTAATGAGATTTTCTCCCAGTCTTTTCTTCTCTGGACTAAAAAGACCCAGCTCCCGCAGTCTCTGCTCATGAGAGGTGCTCCCTAGTACTGGAAGGCCACAGCAAGGTCTCCCCAGAGCCTTCTCCAGGCTGAACAACCTCAGCTCTCTCAGCTTCTCTTAAGAGAAGTGCTCCAGGCCACTGATCACCTTGCAGCTTGTATCATTAGGGAACTACCTCTAATTTTCATTTGTAAGATCGGGATAGATTTAAAATGGTACTTCTGGCTTGCGGGTTTTCCATGTAGGCAGGCAGAGATGGCAGGAAGCTTTCTTAATTGCAAGGTTATCGTTTCTTAAGTCGGGCTCCATCCCCCGAACTGTGTCTCGGCGGGTGCCAGCCCGGCAAGAGCCGCCTTGGGCCGGGCTTCCCCCGGCAGGTCGCGGCTCCTCCCCGCCGCTCTGACTCACGGCCCGGCCCCACTTACACAAACTCGGCGGCCGGTGCCGAGCGGGGGCCGCCCGCTGTGAGGGAGCGGGAGCGGGAGCTGGGGGCGCGGGGTAAGATGCCCGCCTGAGAGATCGGAGCCTTCGGAGCGGGCGGGCGTGAGGGCGCTCCCGTCCGAGGCATTAACGACGGCCCCGCTGTCCCGTCGCGGACGGCGATTTACCTGGGTGGCCACCTCCCTCCCTCCCTCTTTCCTTTCTTCCTTCCTTCCTTCCCGGAGCCGGTGGTTTCGGCGGAGAGGGAGTGCAGCCCGCCTGGCCCCTCCCCGGAGAAACTTTCCGCCGCCACCCGCGCCAGGTAGGGGCCGGTCCCGCTGGGGCGGGAGCCGTGAGGGGGCGGCGGCGGCTGGGACGGGCCGCGCACCGAGTTTCGGGGCTGTCGCGCCGCCGCTCGGCCTGTCGGCAGGCGGGGCGGGCTGTCAGGCCGGTGTCACCCCCGGCCGAGCAGCTGCCGTCTGCCGCAGGGCCGCCGCGGGCTGAGGGCAGTATATAGGTCAGTGGAAGTAATACCCGCCTAATCCCCTTTATCTTTTTGGCTTGGCTTTTCCGCTGTTGGTTTGTAGGGCGACCCTTGGGCAGCGTTGGTCGCAAACTTCTGGGAGAGAGAGGATCCAGGCTTCGCGCAGGGCTGTGTGAGCGGACGAGTGCCGAGGTGAGAGCATGGGATACGCGCTTTTATTTTCCGGAAGGCTTTTCCTCCCGGGTGTGACGCCTGAGTGCCAGGTATTCCTGCGTGGGGCTGTCACCCACGTGACCCTGTGTCTGTTTGCCGAGTTTGCGTTCGGACTTCTGTTTTAACAGGTTAATTAACATTGATTATTTCTTTCTCCTTGCGTCACTCACCGAATCACCGAAGGCTGTGTTGGCATTTGCTTTGGATGGCAAAGGAAGGTAGAGGTCTCGGCAACTTCGGGGCCCGGGTAACGGGAGAAGGCAGTGTGCCCTGACAAAGTGATTACTGTGTTGCTTTCTCTGATCTTTGAGGAACTATTAGCGAGGTCATGTGAACCTTTCTGTAGCACAAGGGTGTTGGTAGCAACTCGACATGACTGAATCGCTCCATGTGGGCAAATACATAGGTGCTGGCAGGTGCCCACTCTCTGCTCGGACATCATGCGTAAGGCCAGCCTGCCAGTATAGGAGTTTGCCAGGTTGGGATACGTGGTTTCTTGTAACTGAGAAAGGCTGAGGCATACTTGATGGTATTTGGAGATTTTTATTTCAGTCTGACTTTTCTCTTCCCTGGGCTTTTTGATTGGTTTTGTGATTAGCATTAACATGTCTCATACAATGACAGTAAGAAGAAAAAAATGCATAAAACGGGTTGTGTAATTTTGTATGCCATCCTATTACCTGTGGTTGAACTGAATGTGACTTCAGAATCTGCCAGTGCCCTCTCTGCCTAGGTATTTTCTGTTGATCAATGTGAAACTGATGCTGTGCAAGAGTTTATAGTTACATTTTCCTTTAGTACAACAGTGTTTTTATTCTCCCGTATAGCAAGCAGTAAGAAAGATCTAGGGCCTCATCTTAGTGGGGAAGCATGAGGTCTTAGTTTTGTTTTCATTTTCAGAGAGAAGAGGCAGTGGTAATAATTGTCCATTCCAGGAGATCTCTCATACACCAAGGTAGTACTGTTAGGTCGTGCAGTGTAGACCCATGTCTCTCTCCTGTGCTGGTTTTATATCATAATTTCTAGAAGTAAACATTTTAGAAAAAATATTGATTGGAAGGGTTTGTAATACCTGAAGGAGTGAAGTCAAATGGTGGTTTTCACATTATCTGTGGTACTTTACTTCTGCTGGAGTATGTGTGTACAAGAGTCCACCTGATCTGAAACTAATCTAAGAATTAGGACCTAATGCTGTAATTTGTTTCTTTCTCTTTGCCTCTGCTTTAATGAACATGGAAGGTCAAACGGAGAAAGGAAAGACATAAAAACTTACAATCCATAAGGTGAAGTAGAAATAACTGTAGAGGGCAAGATTATACCAGTGAGATATTGATGTGAGGATGGCACTGGTGAAACTCGTGGAACATCAGATGCTTTTTCCTCTTATCTGTCTCAATCAAAACAGTGTTTTCAATCGGCTTCCACTAACAGCTGTTTTAGTCTGTTTATTGACCCATGGTGATTGACGATATGTGCTTTGAAAAAGAAGAGAATCCTATTAGATTGATGGAAAACGTGTGGACAAAGCCTGTGGAAGAAACTTAGCTTTATGTACATGGTTTCCTTTTTTTCTTCTTTAAACTTTACTGTGTCTAAACTATATGGTGGTGCTGGTAAAAACTGGATTGTACTCTGTAAGGGTTTTGGCTTTGAGTTGTTTTTCTGGTTTTATTTTTGGGGTTTTATTCCCCTAAATGGGATACAAACCTTCATAGAAACTGAAGCCAAGAGAAGCAAAATGGGAGAAACTGCTGCTAATGTGGTTTTATTTGATCCTGGCATGAAACTGAGTTTTGGAAATCTATAGCTATGTTTTCTCTTCAAAAAGATTATAATGATGCATTGATGCCTGTCAAGTTTAAGTCTTCAGATTTGCAGGCTCTCAGTACCATCTAAGGCATCAGTTTCTCTGTTAAACTGTACATTGAAGGATTATTAAGATTGCTTTGATATACATAATTTTAAGACTTCCTTTTAACAAAGAATTCATTCACAAGTGCTGCTGTTCCTCCCTTGCATATCTTTATTTATTATATATAGATGCTGCTTTTTGATGCCTGCAGAGGGTTTCATTGCAAAAGATCTCCCAGTTTTAATTAGCCTGATGGGAATCTTGTTTAGTTCTATAATGTTTGAGTAGCATACTTGACTTTTTAAAGATGCAGTTCTCCACATCCTGATCTGATATTACTTACTGTGAGCAGTAGTTTCCCTCAGACACGAGAGAGATGTGTTCTCTCTCTCTCTCTCCCTCCCTTTCTCCCATTGCATATGTGGTGTAGTTGATATGTTTGCGGTGTTTGTTATGTGCTGCTGAGAACAAGGCTTTTTTGACCTCTTGTTCCAGTAATCCTTTTTGGTAACAATTTTATAACTATATTTTGGTTTACAGACAAACTCTCAGACTCTTCTACTCAGACATGCTGGCTTGGCATTGTTACCTTACTTGTGGTCTTTTCTCAGCCTAATGGCTACAGGTCAGTTTTATACTAAATAGCTGCCACCCCAGCAAAATGGTCATGCACTGTATCTGCATCAGAATAAGCACCAGGAAAGAGGGCATCAAGGAAGGCTTTTAGCAGAATAGTGCTTTTGGGTGTGTTTCAGGTAATGCAGTACACAACAGCAGATGTCTATATTTTTTGGTACATTATGGTTGCACTTCTAATGCTCTGATGGGATTGAGTAAAGACAAACAACCTTGGGGTGCTTCCAGAAGAGACTACAAAGGTCTGCACTAGTCAAAAAAGTTGGGTATGAGTGACCTAGAAATTCTGAAATCTTTTTCAGTCCTTTTGGCAACACAATATAGTAGCCAAATAAAGACTTGTAAGTAGATGCTGGTATGAGTGCTCTGTAAGAATGTCTGTATCTTTAAAACCTCACGCAAACAGCTTACAAGAAACAGTGCCTTTTTCTGATCGTATTAATTTATTTGGAAAGTAGAGCTAGGACTTAATTGTGTTATGGATAGCAGGCCAGTTATACCTGGATCAAGTTGCTGAGGTTGCACCTCAAATCTTCGGTCCTGTTCTGGGCCCCTCACAAGAAGGACACTGAGGTTCTGGAGCAAGAGAAGGACAGTGAAGCTGGTGAAGAGTTTAGAGACTGAGTCCTGTGAGGGGTGGCTGAGGGATCTGGGGGTGTGTAGCCTGGAGAGAAGGAGGCTCAAGGGAGACCTTATCACTCTCTACAACTGCCTGAAAGGTGCTTGAAACCCAGTGGGTGTTGGTTTCTTCTTCCAGGCAAGCAGCAACAGAGGATGGCCTCAGGCTGTGCCAGAGGAGATTCAGGCTGGACATCAGGAATAATTTCTTCACTGAAGAGGTGGTTAAGCATTGGCACGGGCTGCCCAGCAAAGGGGTGGAGTCACCATCCCTGGGAGTGTTCCGGCAATGACTGGATGTGGCACTTGGTGCTATGGTTTAGTTGACATGGTGGTGTTTAGTCACAGGTTGGATTTACTGATCTTGAAGGTCTTTTCCAGCCTTAATAATTCTGTGATTCTAGTGAATTAAAAGAACAGTGTTGAATGCACTTGTGAATGTGTATAATAAGTGCTTCTGGCTTAATATCACTCCATTGTAATACATGTGTACACACACCAGTACATTTTAAGGAGTCACCTTTAACTGTGGCAGTGCTGTGTTGGTAACGAAGCATTCACCAGCTGAAGTTAGCATTATGAACACTGAGGAGCTTTGGGAACCCATCTTCCCTTACTTTCTGTTGTAGGCATTGATCATAAGACTTCCTATTAGTATAAGGTAGGTATCTCTCAGTCAAGGACTCAGTGATGGTATGATAAGAATGCTTTGCATGTTAAACCATGTGGCCAGAAAATTCTTGTCTAAGGTGATTCTGAAGGGCATGTCCAGGTGAGGCAATTCCATGTGGAATTGAAACAGAGCAGGTAAGATAAGAGCTTGTGAGAGTGGTGATACAGGCTCAAGGCATGTGAAGACATAATCTAAGAAAGTGTTACCTATGATATCAAGTGAGATTACATTTAATTAGCAGAGGAAAGTTTGGAAGCAAGACACAATCATAGCTATCTGCATGCAGGAGGCCCAGCATGTAGTTGGGACTTGGACTCAGATTATCTCTGAACAAAATGTAGCACCTTTTCCTAGCAGTTGGAAAATCTGCCCTGAAATTTATTCTGTTTGAAACTGTGGTGGCTTGCCGTAGGTGGTGAGTTTTTGGGAAATCAATGACTTCTTTATCTGTTGCCTTTCCTTAAAAAATGTCAAATTTTGATGCAATACTGAATTGCCTGTGCATACAGTAATATTAGACCATGACAGTTAATTCTGATCTAAACATAATGAGCATGGTGTTATCTACTTTTTGTGTGAGAACATGCACAGCATCGCTAGATTAGTGCTAAAAATATGAGGCAAATTCCTATGGAGTTTTTGCCATTTAGCTTTAGAAGTGCAGTCAAATGTTTTCTCCCCTTGTGCCTCTACTGTAGTCTCCAAGCATATGACAGACACGGTTTTGCTTATTTAAACATTTGTGTGCCTTAGAAGAGCTTGTCTTTTTTTTTTTTTTTTTTAATTTATTTTTTAAGACAGGAAAGCTGTATGGTAATAAAAATGCGCTAGATTCTTTGTGTCAGTAACTATTACTGAAAGACAATTATGCCCATTATCCTTCTGCTTCTAGCTCATTTTTGCAAGTTGCCTGGATTGTATATTGGTGAAGTGTAGGATTTCTTTCTGTGAAAGTTTTTATATGGAAAGACTATTCTGGCAAAACATGTGGAGTTTGCCTGTGGAACTGAACTAATGATGCCCTTGAACAAGCTCACAATTGGAAGGCTTTCTTAGAGCATATGAAACAAATAAAAGTTTTAAAGTATTGACAGTCTTTATATTCCAGTAAACCTTTAGATTGTAACTTAAATTTAGCTGTTGGCTAACAGTTGAAGAGTTAAACTGCTGAAGACTCAATCTCACTTGCATTCACAAAAT